CCACATTGCTCCTATTATCTCTGTGAATAATGCAAAGTTTGTAACTCTCCAGTAGCAATGCACCTGCTCATATCTGGAAGCGGCAGTGCTTCCAAAGCCAGGGAAGGATCTCCCCCAGCTTTTCTCTCTCTCCTTGGTGATGTTACCTATGAGAATGGCTGACTTCTGGAGTAAACTATCCTCCCACCATTGCTGCTCCAGCCACACTGACATCCACTAATGCTCTTTACAGAAGATGATTTCTATTTCTAGCCCCACTAGCAGTCCTGGGAATTGAAGTGCGACCTCGCTCCTGTCAGGGTAGTTGCTGGTGAGCGCAGCAGTGCATCATTCAGCATGCAGCTGGAGGGGGAAGGGAGCTGCCACTCTGCAGAACAGGGCAGATTTTCATCAATTCTTTGAAGGAATCACACAGCGATCCCTCCCTGTGCGGAGCAGAGGATCGGGACGTGGCTGGTGACTCAGTAGGTGGCACTCTGTTTCCTGAGTGAGCTCTAAGCCAGTGTGCCTGGGCTTGTTGGGGCGATTGAATTTGTCTTTGCTTTTGGTACGAGCGTGCTACATTCATCAAAGATGTGCTCTTGTAAGGTAGGGGAGGTTCGGCGCAGAGTCTGAGCTAGATTCCATTGGTGAGGATATCCTGGTTCCCTGGCATTTTCAGTTAGATGCGTTGTTATTTTTGCCTCCTTTCCACGCACTGTCAGGCAGCTCCTCAGTTCAACCCCGAGTTGGCTGCCTTACAGCAGAAGCTGCAGACATCCAAAAAGCCTTGTTAATTTAGAGGCGAGGTTGCCCAAGTCTATTTTCTCTTGACAGCACAACCACTACTGAGCGAGAACAGAAGTTAAGGCCACAAATGTGCCCCACTCAGGGAAAGTCTCTGAACGCCAGGGCGACGCAGCGGTGCTGACCAGGCTGACCTCTGCAATTCATTATTTTCAGTCCAGTGGTCACTATCCTTCCTGAGCTCATGCACTGTAAGTGGTTACACTGCATCGTAGAATAGATTTTAAAAATCAAGGTTTATTTAATAAGAGTTACATCCAAAAGCAATATTCCTTGTCTGCTGTTAAATTAGGCACTAGACAGAACAGAAAACTGATCCAACTCCCTCATCCACACCCACAAAGTAATACCTACAAATTCATACTTTCACATCAGCTATGTATCACCAAACATGTTCAAAGAGCACATGGTCTGGAAGTGCCTTTGCCCACGTTAATTCTTACGCATATTTTGTTGCAGCTATTTAGGAATTGACCATTCAGAGGTTGTGGTGCATGTTAAAATGGGACTTTCAGCTCTAAGAAGTGGCGTAGACTTGGATGTAGTATTAAAAACAAGTATGTGCAAGCAACACATTTGGCTTATATCGTGCTGGCTGTTCCCCATGCTGCAAGCTACTCAGTCACACTGAGTCAGCTCTAATAAAACAATACATGATGTGAATATTATTTTTTTTTCTGTAAGCTTTTGAAAACGGGAAAAGAGAAGTCAGGTTATCAAAGGAAGATATTCGTAGTACAAATCTCAGTTAGACCCTTTTCCAAGCCATGTAAACAGTTTCCAGTCTGGTCATGCTCAAGAATCAAGTTCAGGACCAAGCCCTTAGCCTCAGACATCAATGGATGAATCCCATTCTCTCAGTTCTGCCATGTGGATTCTCTGCTTGCAGGACAAAACTAATTAACCCCATCTGCCTCTGATGGGTGTGATGGAGCCAATTTCATCACCGTCAGCTCTGTGGAATCCCTAGATGGAAGGAAGACCATATGAGAAACATAGATTATTGGTATCAGTGCTTGCCCTTATGTACATAACATGCTCTGCTATCTCGCCAATAATTTATAGGGAGTGAAAAGTGTTCCTTGATATAAACACAAAATTCTGCATGGGTGGGATTAGAACTCTGAGGTACCGCAGTCCCCGAGAGTCCCTTCAGTGTAAATCCAGTGTTTCCACTCTGAGCAGGTCGTGTGTGTGCGGATTGGATGTTCAGGAGATCTGGAATCTTAGTAGTTGAAATTTAACTTCCAGCAAGTTTACATTGTAAAGGCAGGTGAATTTACTGTGCTGGGGTAATGTGCACACCAAATCCTTGGTGGTTTACAACCTTTTCTACCTCCTTCCTAGAGCCCAAAGGTTATCTCCTCCCTGCCATTCTGGATACCCCGTTGTTAGAAGGCAGTGCACTTGATATAAAAGTTTACCTTCTGTGTTTTGTAAGTGGTGGGTTTAATGGTCAGAATGGAAGGGAGCCTGTAGTCTGTAAGTAATCTGTAGTCTGTAGTAAGCCTGTGTAGTCTGTAGTAATCTGTAGTCACCTGTACACCCTTGGGGAGAACGGTGGTTTAAGAAACACACAGCAGCAAATTTTAGCCCTTTATCTTTGCTTCTGCACATGGCAAATTGTGCTTCCCCGTGGCTAGCTGGGCACTGGTATGTCATCAACACCTGCAGGCTGGGACTGAGGAATGTGAGGATGCAAGAACTGAAATATCAAGAAGTGCTGTAGATCAGGATGCAGGGCTGCTGCCCGTGGTGTGACCGCACTCAGAAAGTGCTGCAGTCAGACAGAAAGCATTTTAGTGGAGCTGTGAGCACCCTGGCAGCTGTCCCCAGTTGCTTCTTAGTACTGAAGTCACCAACCATCGCAGGGAAGAGAGACAGAAGAATCCAGAGATCTCTGAGGAAGGCCACTTACCTTCGTGTCTGTGCGTGTCTGGCCATGTCTATTTCATGCCATTAATTTGAAACTTGGGAAAAATAATTTTTTTTGTGCTTATTTCCTCCTGTATTCCCTGCAGGCAAATTAAAGATGGCTGGGAGGTTATTTGTTTTCTGTAATAACATACACAGCTTCCAGACTTCCTGCTATTGTGCGATTATCTAGATTAATTGACTTGGAAAGATGTAGCATCATCTCAGGGCCTTAATAAGGAAGATTCATAGATTCACACAGTATTGATGCTTATTGCCATGTGACACAGCCTTGCTCTTAGGAGCATATGGACCTATGAGGGACCTATCTGCTGAGTTCTGCCAGCACCTTGCTTTCACACTGAGTGAAGCATTGCGTGGCACCTTGGGAGCGAGAAGCGGAGAACATCTCAGGAAACCTCGTTAGTGAAGAGCTGCAAAAGGCAGTTGCCATCAGCCTCTGCTGGATGTTTCTGGGAATTGTGAGTGTGCTGCTTTGTGACCCTGTCTGTCCATTGCAATCACTGGCATCTCTAATACCCTTAGAGGTACTTCAGAGTGTTAAATTCTGATTAGGGAGAGAGGGCCTATGCAGGCAGGGCTTTTGAGGCATGTTCTGCCTTTCCATTGCAGATGCTTCACTGCAGCAATGCTGTTCTGCAGTAGCTCAGATGGGCCATGGCACAGGCTTGAGGGGGACCAGTTCTTACTAAAACTAGATTTTGAGGATCTTTGAGACACATCTGCTCTTCTGTAAAACATTTCAGTGATTTTGACTGTAGCTGGTCTGACAAATGAACAAGCAGCACGTGCACACCTTTATTCAACAAACCCAGCAGTTTCCTTCATCACATCACTGTAAATCCAGATCACACATTGACTTCACTGGTATTGAGACGGTCTGGCTTAAGGGAAGGCACAGTTTCCTCCCTTGTGCTTGAATCCTGTTCAGTTGCTGTTTCTTTTTTATGGTCTAGGGAGTTAGGCTTATTTGTTGCTCAAGAAGTCAATAATATGAACATAAGCAAGCATTTGTGTGACTGACTGGAAGAACTGCTGCAGCTTTCTGAATGTTGCATCTTCAGGTACAGGCAGCCGAGGCTGAAAATCAGTTTGCTCTTTGCACGTTGTTCGTTCACTGTGACAGGTATGTCTTAATATAAATTATTGATGATGCCTCACAGTGTAACAGTAACAGCCCTGTAGTGTACAATGTAGAGCTGGTGGAACCTTGGCAAGGTGAGAACACAGTGCATTGGCATCTCTACATGTGAAGCATCTGGGAGGGATTGGATCACCACCGTGTTGGGCAATGAGGGTCCTTCGTGAGACTCCTCAACAAAGTATGAGATCCAGAAATAATTTCATTCTGCACTCTGGGTGAGTTGCAGCAATGTACAGAAGGTTCCTGTGCTCTAGGAAACCTGCCTTGGCAGGGGGTTGGACTAGATGACCTCCAGAGGTCCCTTCCCATTCCTATGATTCAGTGATTGTGTAACATCATGTGATTGTGTGTCTTTTATGCTTATACATGGGGAAAATCTTTTAAAACCCCTAACAAATAAACTAGGAACTATTTAAACTGTCTTCAGAAATGAAAATGAGTGTTGTTGTAAGGTCTGCTGGCTATTATTAACTCGCCATTAAGATGAAGGTAAGTTTCTTGAAGGCTGCTTCATGGTGCAGTTGTTCAATGTTGTTCTTGCTAGATGTGTGATTCTGGGCTTTACTGACCATTTCTGTTCAGCACAGGAATCTACAGAGCGTGGGCTAAATTCAGAGTCCAAGCTCAGTGTAAGCCCTACGGAACACCAGAGATTCCAGCAGGTTCTAGTTCCGTCCTGATGCCAATGCTGTCAGTGCCAGCTACTTCTAAAGAAGGATCAGATGGTAGCGAGCAGGCCTGACCAAATAAAGCCAAAAGGCTTTATCGACTTGCTGACTTTGAGCCCTCCCAAATACCTGTTTTCTCTCTCTCTTTTCATAGCAATCACTGCAGTAACTTCAAATATCTGTCTTCTTGGTGGCCCTGAAGGCCCACTGAAAGTTTTTCAGTGAGCGTTGTCCAGCCAGGTACCCAATTCATCTCTGAACATTTTCAGCCAGAAAGTGAGTGTCCCGTTGATATTAAATGCTTAATTACACTGGCTGCTTGTGCACTGGGAAAACATCAGGCAGACGAGCAAAGATTAGGTAATGAGCAACAATAGAGATGTATGAAGTACATCAGTTCTGTTGACGAGAGCTCCCTGTTTCCCTCTCCCACAGCTAATTTCATGTGTCTCTGTCTCGCTGTCCAGGTTTTATTGGGATTTGACCATGCTGCTGCTGATGGTAGGGAACCTGATCATCATCCCTGTGGGCATCACTTTCTTCAAGGATGAAAACACCACCCCGTGGATTGTCTTCAACGTGGTTTCGGACACGTTCTTCCTCATCGACCTTGTCCTCAACTTCCGAACAGGCATTGTGGTGGAGGACAACACAGAGATCATCCTAGACCCACAGAGGATCAAGATGAAGTACCTGAAGAGCTGGTTTGTGGTGGATTTTATCTCCTCCATCCCCGTTGACTACATCTTCCTGATAGTTGAGACCCGCATCGACTCGGAGGTGTACAAGACAGCCCGGGCACTGCGCATTGTGCGCTTCACCAAGATCCTCAGCCTCCTGAGGCTCCTGCGGCTCTCCCGGCTCATCCGCTACATTCATCAGTGGGAGGAGGTGAGCAGAGGCTGTGGTGCACTTGCATCCTAAGTCTTTTGTCCACTTATGCTGATATATTCCACAAAGGTGCCTTCATTGAATGCCCATTCTCCTGCTTTGTTCTGGTGTGGATGCTGGAGAGTTGTGTCTTGAGTGTAACGCTTTGCTTTGAGCAGGTTCCCAAGAGGGCCTTCAGCACTGTTACTTAGTGACTTGAGACTGTGCTGTCTCCTTCAGGGTTGTAATATATGTATATATGTATGTAATATATGTATATGTGGCCTGAGAGATGAGTGCTGCAGGCAGCATGAAGTTATGAGTTGCCTGTGAGGGGAGCAGTTAGCATGTTGTGGGCCCCTCAGAGACTCAAGGATCCAGAGACAGCACAATGGAAAGGTCTAGAGACAGCTGGTTTGCAGAACCTGTGTCATTTATTTGTCCAGGTAACTTCTTTAACATCCTTAGGTCTTAAATAAATGGCTCGGTTATGTATTTATAGCCTTCTCACTTTCTAAATTCTCTGGCATGGTGTTAAGGGGAAGAGGAAAGAAGAACATTCTGCAGACAAATAGGATCTATTTAAAAACATAATGGTCTGGTGAAAAGCCCCACTAGCCTGTGCTGTTCCCAGAGGAATTTCAACACAGAATCATAGAACCATAGAATCACAGAATGGCTTGGTTGGAAGGGACGTCAGAGATCGTGTAATTTGAACACCTCTGCCATGAGCAGGGTTGTCAAGCACTAAATCAGGCACCAAATCAGGCTGCCCAGGGCCCCATCTGGCCTGACCTTAAGCAGCTTCAGGGATGGGACATCCATGACTTCTCTGGACGGCCTGTTCCAACATGTCACTGCCCTCTCAGTGAAAATTTTCCCCTGTCATTTAATCTAAATCTCCCTTTTTTTAGTTTAAAACCATTCCCTCCTGTCCTATCACTATCTATCCACGTAAAAAGTTGATTTCCCTCCTTCTTATAAGCTCTTTTTAAGTACTGGAAGTCTCCTACCTCTTCTCTTAGAGAGCCTTCTCTTCTCCAGGCTGAACAAACCCAGCTCCATCAAACTGTCTTTGTAGCAGAAATGCTCCAGCTCTCTGTGTGTTCGTGGTACTCCTCTGGACCTGTTCCAAAAGCTCCACATTTTTCCTGAGCTGTGGACCCCAGAACTGAATGCATTACTTCAGATGGGGCCTCACAGTGGCAGAGGAGGACAATCATCTCCTTCTCCCAGCTGGCCACCCTTCTTCCAGTGCAGCTGTTGGTATCCCGGGCTGCAAGAGCACACTGCTGGTTCATGTTAAGTTTTTCATCCAGCAAGACCCCAGGTCCTTCTCTGCAGAGCCACTCTCAAGGAGTTCTCCCAGTCTGTACTCGTATCTGTGCTTGCTTCAACCCAAGTGTGACACTTTGGCCTTGTTAAATCCCATTAGGTTCACACGGGCCCACTTTTCAAGCTTGTCCAGATCTCTCTGGATGGCATCTCTTGCTTCTGTCGTATCAAATGCACCACTCAGCTCGGTGCCATCAGCCAACTTGCTGATGTCATTGAAAAGATGGTAAAGGATACTGGTCCCAAGACAGGCCCCTGGGGGACAGCCCTTGTCCTTCACCTGAACACAGAGCCATTGACTACAACCCTCTGGCTGTGACCATTCAACCAATTACTTATCTGCCAAATTGTCCACCTTTCAAACCTTGATCTCCAATTTAAAGATAAGGATGTGGTATGGAACAAGTTGTCAGGTTTCATGTGAGAGAAGTCACCACCTTTCCAGTAGCTTGAAAATTAGTTATTTTTTTTCCCATCTCTGTGCTCTCCAAAGCAGAGAGAAAGCTCCCTGCAGCTTTCTCCACATGGCAGTAGCATATTTTCAGGACAAGGAAAGCTGGTCAAGGCAATTTCATCTTCTTTTCCATTTTTTCTATGCTGCTTTGGAGCAGAGACTGACGCAGAGCATGATCTAATGCAGAGCGTGCTCCTGGGAATGTGAAGGGGAAGCAGCCATGCAAGTCATAGCTGGATCACACTGAGCTGTCAGAACACTAATTCATGACAGAGGCAAACCTTTTTCCTCCTTCTGGCATCACAGACTCAGAGAAAAAGTATTAGTGCATACTTCACAAATTTCACGCTTCGTCTTTGTAGCCTTATAATTTGTGAATGTTTCACTTGCAACAGGCCACAGTGGCTCAGTGAAGTTTGGGATGACTTTTGTGCAAGGTGCTGTACAGATGTAAGAGGGGAGGGGAGGCAGCTCCAGCCCTTAAGAATTCACTACTAGGTTAATTTGATTCATAGCACAGACAGACGGGAAGTGCACTGAGAGATGGAGACAAATGAAGCAGAAATGTGTTCCGTGGCGTGACTCAGGAGCTCGGAGACTGAGCTGAGCAGTGAAATATCTCCAGCTCTATTGTCTCATCCCTTGGTTGCTTTGCTTCTCTGTCCTCTAATCTGAGAGCACTAGGGAAAGGTGGGTTGATGGCCTTTGAGTTGTCAAAGTGGGTCCTTCATACTGATTTACAGGTAGCTATGGCAGCACAAAGCTCAGCACTTGCTCAGTGCTGCTACTTGACTTCCTTTCCATAACATGGTTGAAGAGGAATTGAATACATTTGTGTTCATTGTACTGAATTTGTAAAAACCATAATGAAATGTAAGCAAATCAGCTCCCTTTCCCCGTCTCACTTCTCACACAGTTTCACTGAGCAGCCATGTGTAATTTCACTGTTGTAAAGCAGAAAGGTGGGGCATTCTGCCCATTTGCTGGCCGTTCTGGGTAGCAGGGCTCAGCAGTGCTGGATGCGCTCTGGGTCGCTCCTGAAAAGCAGACACCCTGGAGTGATGCAGTGCTGCAAGTGGAAGGGACAGATGGTGTTGGATTGCAGTTGGAGACTGCAATGCAGACTCTGTTATGCATTGCAGAGCCCAGCAGAGCAAACACGACCGTCTTTTTTCAAACAGGGCTCGACCCAAGCAGCAGTTTTCCAATGACAGTATGGAACTAGGAGGTTTTCCACCTTCTTGAAAAAGAGAGAGAGACAAAGAGAAGGGGCAGTCTTTTGCCACTGGCGCGGTGCGTGCTACAGGATGACAAGGAGATGGGAAAGAAAAGTGCTTCTTCATCTTTGTGTGGGAGTGAGCTGTTGTGCTCCCTGGAGCCACGCTGACGGTTCTCAGAGCAATCACTGCTGCCATGGGAAACTCAGCTCCTTGCTTGTACCTACTGCTGAGACTGAGTCCTGCGTGCGGAGGAGAGGAGGATGCGCTGTACGCAGAGGTGTCAGTCTTTTTGCTCTGTCTCCTATGTGAATGTTGCATCTATGCATTAGTGTCAATGTGAGTGAGTACAAGGATAAGTGGTCACTTCCTGAACAGCAAGCCTCTCTGTTTCTTCCCCTGCAACAGTCCATGCTCTGCATGAATTTATCACTCACCCTGCAGTGAGGAAGGAACAGCCTTCTGTAGGGCTGCAGTGCTGTAAAACAGCCAGCCGCTCATCAGTTCCAGATCAATGCTAGTCATGAGTCTGTGGGCTCAAGAGCCAGTGGTTAGAAGTGCCTGCACTGTTCTGTCTCAGCAGTAGATCACTGCAACGTCCTCCCCCAGATCTGAACCGAGCACTTTGGGGCCTGCAGCTTGGCAAACACGCTAAAGCAGAAAGACACACAAAAAAGAAAAGCAATCCATTGCGCTCATATTCACTGGAGTATGAAAAAAAGCTTAGTTCCAAATGTGGCAGTTTATTTGCATTATCCATTTTGCATGAGTTGTCCAAGGAATGAATTTACCAGTAGGGCAGAATATAAATAGAGTCTTTCTGAAGTGTCTGCCTGTATCTTTCTTGCAGTCAGAGGCTTGACTGCAGTGTTGGAAGACTTGGGCCTGGTGTGCCTGTGTGTTATAAACTTCATGGTCTGGTGGTTACCAAGTGCATAAGCAGAGGTGCAGGATGCAGCCTGGATCTGGAGCTGTACTGCTAAAATTAGAGCAAGCCTGGGTACTTGTGTCACACCCTGGTCCTAGCCATGGGAGCAATCCAAAAACAGCCTAAGAGAAGATTACAGGGTTACACGTGATCCCTGGAGCAGCTAGAGAACTGCTGTGCTGGAAGAGGGGCTACTGGACAGCCTGAGTTCTCAATATAGCAGCAAAAAAGCCAGAACCCTGCAGAATGCAGTATGTGATAACTGTACACACCCAGCATAACCCTGCTTCACACTGGCTGGCTTGGTGGCAGCCCAGGGGAGCTCTTGTCATCTTGGCCTTTGAAGCACTCCAGCAGCTCTTCACAGAGTGGCTGGGCAGGTTTGTGGCTCTTGGCATGTGAAGATGGGGGCAGGCTGTGGCTCACAGGCACAGAGAGCTGTTGTCTTTGAGAAACTGGTCCAAGAAAGCCAGCTCTGAATATCAGCATCTTACAAACCTCATCCCAAGGTCACCCAGCAGAAATAATGAAAGCAGAACAGTGCCATGTAACCCATACACCCAATCAGAATGCAGTGCAGATTGTGAGTGTTAAACAAAATTCCCTTTAGGTTTTCATGGGCGGAATTGATTGAATTTTTTTCTTTTTGTAAGAGCAGTTTGCTGAGCTTTCCCTATTTGATGCACAACATCTACCCCAGTGTTTGGTGCCAGGAGGCTGTAACCTGTGTTTAAGATCGAGCTAATGTGACTCATGAGCAAGGGACATTTATTGGGATACCAGTAAAGTCCTGCTCCTATAAATTGGTTTCCAAATAGCACATAAGCAGCGCTAGCCAAAACATCTTGATCTCAGAATCTTTTCTGAGAAATTATGGTGGGAAGGAAAGGAAATAGATGGTTTTCAAATAAATCAGAATGATAAGAGATTATCATAAGTGATGGGATCTTTTAAGATTTGTGTCGGATAAAAAAGAAGATACAGTTTTTAACTTCAGTGCCTGTGAAGAAAAGCACAATTTATTGATTTTTTAAACTCTTACTTCAAGGAAAACATGGAAACCTTCCTGATTGCTGTCCACATTATA